TAAAAAAAACGTCTCTTTGATTACTTTTAAACTTGTATTTCGAAAAAAGCTTGTTAACAATCAAAACTTAAATAAATAAGTCTTCATTGTATTGATATTATCGCCTACCACTGTATATAGAGTAAAGATGAACGCTAATCCTTTACTATTTGAACAGGCCCTGTACTCAATTTTCAAAGGTCAATCTGTATATTACAGTACTTGGGGTGGGTGGGGGGTAATTCCGAAGAAGAAAATATATTTAAACAGAGGTTTCAAATTAAGAAAACTTAAAGGAACTGTAAAAGAAAAGACAACCTATTCTTATTTTCAAAAACACTTTTGAAAGAAAACTTGGAGTTTTGTACAGAGACAAAAAATCTAAGAAAATAATACACAACCTGCCTAAGCACTACCAGCCCCCCNGCATATCAAATTCATATTGCAATCAATTTAACAGTAGTCTACAGTCCTTATAAGCTATTTAACAGTAATCTACACTCCTTATGAGCTATTTAACAGTAATCTACAGTCCCTTTCAGCTATTTAACAGTTATTTACAGTCCCTTTAAGCTATTTAACAGAAATCTACAGTCCTTATAAGCTATTTAACAGTAATCTACAGTCCCATTAAGCTATTTAACAGTAATCTAAAGTACCTTGAAGCTATTTAACAGTAATCTAAAGTTCCTTTAAGCTATTTAACAGTCATCTACAGTCCTTATAAGCTATTTAACAGAAATCTACAGTCCTGATAAGCTATTAAACAGGAATCTACAGTCCTGATAAGCTATTAAACAGGAATATACAGTCTCTTTTAGTTATTTGTTCTCTCTTTCCCGTTCTCCATACAATTGACCTTGAATTCTAATGCAGAAAATCCAACGGCATTTTGCATTTAGAAAAATGTTATTTATTTTGTTATCTTTGTTTTACCCCCCCCTTTGATGTTTGAGTCAATCCAATGAAACTATCAAAGATGTCGAAAATTGTGGTAAAAATTGCATTAAGTTATAATCTCAGAAAACAAGATTTTACGGTGATTACCAATTGAGGTGGTGGAGATTACCAATTGAGGTGGTGGAGATTACCAATTGAGGTGGTGGAGATTACCAATCGAGGAGCGCGCATGCCGCAAAACACATTTGGGTGGCAGTGATTAATAATTGAGGACTTCCCCAAACCATTAAGACGTCTGCTCTGTATTTTTAAATACTGTTTTCATGTACTGTTTTTCTAAAAAATACAACCTACTCTCCANCCCCCCCAGCAGGAATAGGGTTAAGTTCCTTATTGAGTAGGTTGTCTTTTATAGGAAACACTTAGTTACCAGAAAAAGCTGCGTTATAGATTTGAAAAATAATTCTTATACTACAATTAGAATTAAGGTTAGAATTTAATAAGTTAATAAGTAACATTTTTTAAATAATCAAATCATTAAAAACAATCGTTTTGAAGACTTAAATTAAAACATTTGAATGTAAAAAAATGTAATCCGTTTATACAATAGGTATAGACTTTTTCTATAATTACTAAAAGTATCAAGAACTTAGGCTCTCGTATACAAATAACAACATAAATAAAAAGGCAACAGATTATAAACAAATATTTACATATATTGTTTATTATTCTATGAACCTTTCCCTGGCCTAGACCAAACAAAGATATATTTTTTCTCCTTCAGCTTTTGCTGTATTATATCAAGGAGTCTTAAATGCAATGGAGAAGGGGTCGATCAGGGGGGATGATAGTTCTCTACCTGTGTGCTCAGTTAGATGTATTGTACACTTACAACTGTTTAGTAATATTGATACACTATAGGTTAGGTCAGAATCAACTTATAATAAACAAATATGCAGTACGCTTACGGTATAGTTGATGGCCTATATAATTAATAAAGGATTAGCGTACATCATCACTTTATACACTTGAACCTCGTTGGGGTCGACCCGTTCCGTTCCGTTCCCATATACAATGACCTATACATACAAACGCCGTATTTAGAAAAGGTCATTGTATACTATATGTACAATGTTTAATGGGGGAAAAACGCAAAATAATGGCGTTTTTGAAATGGAAAAAAATCTGTTTAAAACTGTTTTATTTATTATGACATATAAGTAAAATTCCTGCACATTTACAAAATAAAAAAAAAACACCTTAACAAAAATTTCTTTGTTGTATTCCATACTACTTTCTGAATATTGAATAAAACATGAAATATGTCATTAACAGTTTTCAAATCAGTCTTTTCCAGCAGAACTCTTTTTACTAGATTTAAATTTCTATATAATAAAGCTCTTCACTTATACATACAGAGCGTCCCATATCATATTGATTATCTCAAATCTTTAATGCCAAAATACTTTAAAAACCTAGCATTTTCTGCCTAATAAATTGATTCATTCTTGTTAAATTTTCTGATTTGTCCCCAAAATCATAATTTAGACCCATGTTGACGCGGTCTAATTTGAACCCTAAAGTAACCCGAGGTTAATAAAGAATAGAATTTTTTTTAATCAAAATTTTTTTCTCCATAATTAAAAAAATATGTTTCATACGGGCAACGCCGGGCACTTCAGCTAATTCTCCTTTATAAACGGCTGGACCAAATTGGCTGACATTTTCATAATAGAATCCATGGATGATTTTATGTAACTAGGTAAATTTTGGTAAATTTTACAGGCAAAGCCAAGCACCTAATGGGTCACTCTTTATGAACTAAATTAATTAAATCAAAAATTCGACCCAGCACGTCTTATGTAACAGTGACCTCCATTCCTTTAGTTCCTCCTTCCCACCCCTCCTCCATGATTTACTTGATCTTGTTAAGTTCTGTCTAAGAAAGTTTAAGTTAAACACAATTATCCTGATCAATCCCTCTTGCTTGTTAGTCTCAGCCATGGACTTAGTAATTTAGGAATTTTAAATACTGAAAACCAGGCATGGACTTAGTTCAAGGACTTTTCGCTTTTATAATTTTCTTATTCATGGATTGAGTGAGTATGAATTTTAAAGACTGAGAACCATTCATGGACTCAGTTTAATGACTACAAGCTACTCTAATCGTCATATACTGAGTAAATATTTGTAAATATATGTTAAATTCATGAACTGTAGAATACACATTGTTTTTTTGTTTTTTATTTCGCCAAAGATTTTATTATTTATGATTTATATAACTAATATTCCAAAACTTAGCAACATGACGAAAATACCTGCTGAGCTGTCTATTGGTTACCACTGTTTCTTTACAATTTTTAAAAGTGAAATGAGTAAAAAATATAATAAACATAAAAAAGCATAAAAATATAAAACATAACATTAGATATACTTCACATTTAACTTAACATAACATTAGATATACTTCACATTCAACTTAACATAACATTAGATATACTTCACATTTAATTAAACATAATATTAGATATACTTCACATTTAACTAAACATAATATTAGATATATTTCACATTTAACTTAACATAGCATTAGATATACTTCACATTTAATTAAACATAATATTATATATACTTCACATTTAACTAAACATAATATTAGATATATTTCACATTTAACTTAACATAACATTAGATATTTTTAGATATAAACTTCGGCTGATGTTAAAGAATTTTGAAGTTTGACCTCTAAGGGGAAAAGTTTCAACTCATTTGAACCGAAGCAAGTTATTTTCATTTGTTCAAAAGTTCCAAGCTCTGAGCCAATGGGAGGGAAGAGAGTTGAGTTTCAATTTTAAATTCCGATTTAAATTGTTTCATGCTTTTCATAAGAGATCAGTGCAGTTTATTTAAACACAATTTAGAAGAAATCATCTTTTCGACGAAGATTCTAAAATTTTATTAATCAATTCGCTTAAGGGTTTTTACTTGAAATAATAAATCATATTGAATTTACCAAAAAGAAAATGTTTTGAAAAATGTGAAGAATTTATCCCTGGTCAAATCCTGAGATCGAGTAAACTTCACACATTTTATTGATCTCAGTTTTTCTTATCTAGTGAATCTAATTACATCTCATACATATACAGTTCATCTTACATATAATTCATCTTATACATAGTTCATCTTATTTATATACAGTTCATCTTTTTTATATACAGTTCATCTTATATATATAGTTCATCTCATATATATACAGTTCATCTTATATATATACAGTTCATCTTACATACAGTTCATCTTATATATAGTTCATCTCATTTATATACAGTTCATCTTATATATATATATATATACAGTTCGTTTTATGTAAAGTTCATCTTATATGTATATATAGTTCAGATACAGTTCAGCGTATATATATACACAGTTCATATTATATATCTGGAGTGGGTACGAAACGCCAAATGTAAAAAAACGCCCAATTCAACAAAAGGCCCAATTACAAAACGTCCAATGTCACAAAAAGTCTACATTTTATGTGGAAAAAAAGATAGGAATTTTCGATTTTTTTCATGAAAATTCGCAACTTTTCTGTTTAAGTTCCTCAAAGTAAGTTTTTTTAAGTTTAGCGCTATGGCTAGTAGTTCAAATACATTTCATTTAAACTTTCATTTCAAGAAGAATATTTTGCGCCATTATGGCACCTTCAGTCTTCAGTCTAAAAAAAAGATTTGTTTTCAACATTTTCCAGTAATCTTTTATGTATAAGCTAAAAAAAATGTTGTCAGTTTGGCTAATCAAAACCATATGATCGCCAAAGGCTTCTTGGATTGAAATTTACTATTTTTTTCATGCAAATATCTGAACAAAGACAGTAAAAAAGGGGTAGCAGAGCCCTTTTTCAATTTTCTGTTTTAAAGCATCCTGTTTAAGGGAGCTTTCATAAAAGGTTGGATAAATTTTCACATTTTACTCCAAAACCCTGGGAGCAACTCGAAAATCCTGGGAACACTTTAAAACCCTGGGAGCAATTCCCAAACCTTTAGAGCAGCCATCCCTCCCTCGTTCCCCCTACAAATGCACTGCATATATATAAATAGATATAATTGTATTTTAGAAAAAATGATAAAATCGTTGTAGTGAAACAAATTCCAGGATGGTTTGAATACAAGCCCAGAGTTCTTGGTGTAGATCTAAAATCAAATTCCAGCTTTTGTAACCCAACCAAAATGTTGGTGCTCAGCTTTTGTAAACTGACTCTACTCGTTTTACATTTGCACACAGTGGCCCCATTACCAGAAATTATCAAAATAGGTAAAAAACATGATAAAAAAAATATAAAAAAAGTTTTTAAGTAAATTGAAGTAAAGTTGAAATTATCCATTTTGTTTACAATTCTATTATAGAAAACTCTATCGAACTGAAACTGAGCATTTTATCATAGAACGATGTCTCATACACAAAGAGAATAGAATATATATTAGAGGGGAATTTACTAGAAAAAAGGGAAAAACGGCCATTTTGTTGTACTTCACATATTTGCGCTATATAACCTTTCTGAAACATCATTTTATAGAAAGTCTAAAATTGATATTAAAAGAAAACCAAATTATGAAATATGCTAGTTTCATAATTGACCTATTATCATTTCACATAGACTCTTTGCCTTTCACTTTACAAACGATGATTTTCCGTTATAACTATAAATCAAATGATGTTTTTTATTCACCTAATTCATTTTATAAAGTTTATTTAACAGCTTTAAAAATTCGAAATTGAAATGGATAGTCTAGGGAACATACTGTATTAATGTACTCTACTGCATATAATTTGTCAACATTTACATGATTTGTACACTTTTAACTCCCTTTCAGGCTGAAAGGGACTGTCAAAATTTATACCGAAGGATTGACTTAATTCCACTCTAATAATATTCTATTCTCTTTGCTCATACAGTCGGACCCACAAAACTGCTGAATATGACTACGACTATCAGATTCAAGTTATGAAATACCCTGAAACATTGTAATTGTGAATATTAGTAACACAAACCCATTTCACTTCATAAGTTGATTTTGAAGCTAGTCTAAAAACAATTTGCATTTTAACAACACCAAATACACATAAAATTTTTAAAATGTCGTCTTTACTTGAATATTTTTGTTGCAGGAGGATTGTTTGATGTAAGTGATGAGATGAAAGGAAATGGAAAACAAGAAACTGCGTTCAGGTTTGAGAAACATCATAAAGGGACACTGAGCATAATTTCAAGTGACCCTCTATGCAAAGATGACATTGACTGATTTACAACGTTACCATTGACATATTTATCTAGGCAATAATGTGCAAGATATTGACGTTTTCCTGTTTTCCTGCAGTAGAAATGCAAGAGTCACTTTAATTTTGTAGAGAAACTACAATCGAAAATTATTAGTTTACACAATTCTAAACATTGATATCCCAAAAAATAGAAAAAAATTCGCGAATTTTATAAGAAAAATTTCGTTGATTTTCAAAATTTTCAAAATCAATTGTTGTTAGAGGCAAATTTTTGAAAATTTGATCATCCATAAACCTTTCCTGGGGTCACATGAGGTCCAACACCAAATTGGGCCCGATCGGTTCAGCCGTTTTGACGTAAATTGGATACAAACAGACACTCAAACAAACAGACAAACATTAAGTATATTTATGGATAAAGAATCAAAATTTAAGAACAGATGAGATATAGTTGAACTATAATTAGACTCAGTTAGTCCACTTGTCTTGCTGAACAATGGCAGTAGTGCAAGAAGTGTTTGTAGTGTTTAACATTTGTTGTATAGGTCTATAGTTTAATATGTCTACAACAATAGGATATTTAAACTATAGAGATGAGAAAATGAGCATTTGTTGCATGCTTATTTTTTAAAGGGACTGTCAGCGTAATTTTAAGTGACCCTTGCGATGCAAAGATATGACTATGCCTCATTCACAATTGCTATGTCTAGTTAAGAATGAATTAGATATCAATGTTTATAATTTTAAAAACTGATTATTTTTGATTGTGGTTTCTACTGAAGGAGGACATATAATAATTATCAGAATTAAACACTTTTAACCTTGGAAAACAATAATATCTTTAATATTATTGTTCAAATAAAGGTTTCAAGGGTACTGTTGTTCATCGGCCATTGCCACCAAAGAAAGGAGTTTCACTTAGAGTTAAACTTAAACCCCATTTAATGTTTATATTTCCTCTCATTTGAAGAAGGGAGCTGTTTATAAAAGAACCCATTACCATTGAAGTCTCTCTTTTTAAAAAGAAAATTGTTAAAATTCCATTTCCGAGTTTTATTGCATTCTGCATTTTATGTTTGGGAGTAGGAGGAGGAGGGTACAGGGGGTGGGGACTGGGGGGGGGAGTCAATTTTTGGATGCTTTAGGAAGTGGGAGTAATTTACTGAAATAGCATTACAAATAACAATAAAATATTCACAAGCTTAGTTAGTTTTATTATACTTTGATTTTATATAATGCATTGCACAAAACATTTATTTTTTTTAACGAAATTTCGCATGAATCTGTTCGCAAAAATGTTGCGGAACAAAAAATGCAAAATTTTCGACTTGTATTTACTTTTTTGTAATTACGAAATGAATCGTTGTTTTTCCTCAGTTTAATTTTTGTTGTTGTTTCATTTTAGCTCTCAAAGATACTATAGTATATGAATAAAAATCAATAA